ACAAAACAACAACAAAAAACCGAAGCATAGAAAAATAATCACAACTACCAAAGAACAAGAAATTTCATGGTGACTTTCCATGCAAAGACAATTAACGTTTAGATTTATTGTTCTATACAAGAGAGGTACGCTATCCTATATCTATGCTATTGCCGAATCTTTTATCTATGCTGTTTACATCTATATCTATGGTACATTGTTTTTATATTTATATTTTTGTTTATTCTCTCTCTCTTTCTTTTATAAATTACACTTCAGTTTTCTTGGCGTCATCTTCTCTTTTCAAAACTAAAAATAAATTTTTAATATTTACGAATAAATAAAAACAAATTTATTACTTTATTCGGGTCAACTGGGTTGTCGCTGAGATGAACCACTGGACCTGGATGGACCAATCGTATGCTGTTTTGGGTTCATTAAAATGCTAATGAGATGTATTTTATGCTAATGGGGTGTGTTTTATGCCAATGAAGTGTATTTTATGCTAATGAGGTAAATTATATGCCGAAGAAGTGAATTATGTGTACGTAAAGCAGGTGAATTTGTGATAAAATATGCAAATAAGTTGAATCTCATGTAAATATGTATTTAATCATTCCCAGATCAAACCAACAAAATGATTGTTTAACTGGATTATACACAACACATGCAAATAGAGTGAATCATTGTGCGAATGAACTTAATTGTATGTTGATGAAGTGAATTCCTACATACAATTTATGCCAATTTTATGGTAATGAGGTTAATTTTATGCAAATAATTAGTTTAAGGGTATGCAAATATGACATTTAATAAATATATCAGCATAAATTGGATATGATAATGAGTTAGGAAATGAATTTTTTTTTCAAAAATAATAAATAAATAGAATTAACACATGAACAGAACATACATATACCATGATATAATTAAAAATCATGCGACAGAAATACATAAACAACCTCATTAATATGCAAAGGGCGACCCATTTTAATAGACACAGAGCGCAATTAAGTGCACCGCTAATGCCGTCGTTAACACGTAAAAGCCCGCCTACTTAATATGCAAATTATTTCATGAATATTCATGAGAACTAATTGCATAATATGCCTGCGTTAATGTTGTTAAATTAAATAACTGCTTGCTGGTGCAGTGATAGCGATGATCAGAGTAGAAAGTGGGTCGTAATGAAATAACTTCACCAAATTAGAGGCGCACGTACCCACATAACCGTGTAAAAAACACAAACGCACACGCACGCATGCACATAAGAAAGAGAGAGAAGAGAGAGAGAAAAAAAGAAAAAAAAGAGAGAGAAAAAAAAGAGAGAAAAAAGAGAGAGAAAAAAGAGAGAGAGAAAAAAGAAAAAGAGAGAGGAAGAGAGACAGAAAGGCACAAGAGAGAAAAGGAGAGAAAAAGAGAGAGAAAAAAAGAGCCAGAAAGACAAACACACAAACAGAGAAATGCCAAAACTCACAGATCCATAGCCTTATTCCAATTGATGATGTACCCTGATAGTGTGAAGGAGTCGAGATTGACTACCTGAACATTGCCACGCTCGGTTCCAACGTACAGCCATTTGCTTTGGAATGGGAGGTGGCATGTCGAGATTCTGCATTCATTCATTCGTTTTTGTGATGGATGGATCGATGTATGGATGGATGGATGAATGGATGGATGGATGGATGGATGAATGGATGGATGGATGGATGAATGGATGGATGGATGTATGGATGGATGGATGTATGGATGGATGGATGAATGGATGGATGGATAAATGGATGGATGGATGAATGGATGGATGGATGAATGGATGGATGAATGAATGGATGGACTGGATAAATGGATGGATGGATGGATGGACTGGATAGATGGATGGATGAATGGATGGATGGATGTATGGATGGATGGATGTATGGATGGATGGATGGATGTATGGATGGATGGATGGATGG